TTAGACTATTTTGTACAAGCTACATGTACCTATAACTTAAGTTCAAAATCAAACACCCCATGCTTCACTGATACCACCCAGCTTGTCAATATAACAATTACATCCATAACAAAAATAACTTACCAGTACAGGTATTTAAAAAATTGTAAAACTTAGTTTTTCATTCTTTGGTGATATGTCAATTTTATCTTACTTTACTAATATTATACATACTAGTTGTTCTGTACTAAGAGAATGTGGGTTTCTAATTCTACCAAAATGTTAAACACACACTTAGTGTACTGAAAATTATTCAAGCAATACAATTGCTTATTATTGTATTATTATTATTGTACTTATTGCTTATTTTAATGAAAACCTCTATGTCCATTTGCATTAAATTGTGTGGTAGAATAAAAATAGCTTATTCCCTTTATGGGAAATTTGCTAAAAACTAATAACTTCATCGTAATGTATATGTATGTGTATAACATCTATATATTGAGAATCAACAGATTAGGGGAAAAACAAACTATAGGCATAGAAAAAAAGAATTAAATATAGACTGTCAGCTGTGCTGCGGTTACCATAGGTTCTAGCTCACACCGCTGGGAACGCCATCCACCAGAACCTATGGTAATCGCAGCACAGCTGACGGTCTATAATTCTTTGTTATAGGTTAATGAAAATAAATTTAACAGCTGATGCATCTTCAACAGGCTGTATTAAATTTGATTAAATGCACCCCTTTGATTGAGTTCATGCCCTTACGAGGGGCTTTATCAAAAAACTGATACCTATCTATCGGGGAAGTTGCACAGAGATTTATTTATTTAGTTATACATAACCGTAACCCTATACGGTTGATAGGTGTGCTGATTAGTTTTCTCAAAAGTTCTTGTTTGTGATCTTAATTAGCTTTATATAGCCTAGACTAGTTGTTCTACCCGTGCTTCGCCCCCGGGCAACAATTAAGAGAAAATGAGGGTCTATAATAATCTACTGTAAAGGACAGTTAAACATAGCCTACTTATCATGGATATAGGCAATCTCAATCATATTGCTTATTTTGATGAAAATCTCTTTGTGTTTGCATTAAACTGTGTGGCAGAGTCAAAAAACTAATAACTTTATCGTAATGTTCTATCTAAGCCTATTGAGAATCAAAAGATTAACTTAAGCAAAAAGTAAACAAACTAAAAATGAAAACAAATTGAACCGATGATGCCTTTTCAATATTTTAAATGTGATTAATTGTGTCCTTTCATTGAGATTCCTGCCCTTAGGAGAGGGTCTAATTGAAAAACTGATATTTTTCAAGGAGGCTTCAAATAAAGGCCTTTCATTCAAGTAGGCTATGTGGTTGATAGATGTGCGGCTTGTGGTTTGTATCCTTACTAGTGTCCCTGTTGCTCGAAATCGAGCAATTGCTAAGTATTACATGCATTATTTTAAAACGAATAACAGTCATAATTTTTAATGACTTTAAAAGATTCGACTCAAAGATTATGGAATACTCAAGAGGTACATAACATATCAATATAATCAACATTTCTTGTAAATATCTTTTCATTTTTCAAAAGCTGATCTTGTTTTTTAGCGTTTTCTACAAATAGCCTTACTTACGCATTAGGTTGTCCATCATAATAAAAAAACACATTATTTCTATTTCTTCTCCTTGGTGGTGTTCTATGACTTTCCTATGTTTCTATTGTTTGCAAATCGGCTCGTTCAATTATTACTAAGAAAATGCAGCACAGCGTTAATTCAGTTTTAGTTTTAGTATATCAATTTATCCAGGCTCTCTCGTTCTTTCCTTTGTAATATTTACGCCAACCCAAATTCAAATAGTAAATATTTCATTTCAACCAAGTCAGTAAATGTTTGTAGCAAACTGTTAAATTAGCAAACTTATTAACTGTTTACAATTAACATATGTTCTTCTTCTCACTTTTAATTTCTGACAACAGCTGGAGTTGCATAACAATATTTGTTCCCCATGTTAATCTTATGGAGAAATACGAAACTTTAAAGGGCCCCAGGGCCTCTGATTATTTCCCTAAAAAGAAAGTTTCCTGCACAACTCCACGTTACGCTCTTTCCAATGACACCAAAAACATGTCAATCGGTTCAGCAGGTTAGGAGGAGTAATTGTCACAAAAAACATGCTTGCGTATTAAATAAGTATAGATTAGCTTTATATAAGTTAGGCCTATAGATGAAATTTTTGATGTTTATGACTATGGTACAGTACGGTATGTCACATTGTGATCCACATTAAGACCTATATACTATATACATTGTTATTGTAATTCTGAAAATATTTATTTGTTGTAAACCTTCCAGAGGTCGCATCACGGAAGTAACCTCCGGGGATGTTTTATTTTTCGTGATTATATTATTTTGAGTGGTATCGGCAGTTTGACTGTCACTGTACCTCACGCACCTCATTCCTAGAATAGAGTGAAGGTCAAAACTCACCCCTACTATTTTATATTTGTTGGTTTTGTTCAGTTTTGTAAGAGGCTGGAAGTAACTTCCGTGTGCGCTCTGCCGATTCTCGTACAGCCTGGAGGCAACTTCCGTGATGCGACCTCTAAGTTTAGTGTGTGCGTTGATTATTGCGTGTAAACTATTACTGTAAATAATTAGTTTTTTACGATTCATGTCATTATTTAGTAAATATATAGTTTTTACAAGATGACAGAAGAAGTTAAATTTTGAATTGCAACACTCTTAGCCATGCTGAAAGGGAGATTCACGAACGACATATGTACAGAGCCATTTATTATTAAGATACCCATTGTCTTAAATTACTTAAAACATCAGGTATTGAGAGTGTTATTAATTAAAACCACATTATAGAACATTGTGGTAAAATTTAAATTAACTTGTTGAATATATTCTTGTAAAAGATTTCTTCATATACTTTTATGTTAGAAAATTTGATAGAATAATAGTTTAATTTTATATTTATAAATTCTAAATTAAATTATTGTACAATTAAGAGTTCACTAAACATATTTTTGATGTTAAAAATTAAAAATAAAACTTAATTTGTATACTAAAATACAAATTTTACTTCATAAATGTTTGTTTTTATTGACCCGGAAGTAACCTCCGGGTGCGCCCTCTCCCGTTTTAAAAACCAATGCGCCACGTGAAAGGTTAATGGTTTGATAAATGGTATATGGTGATGTTATATTGTTACATGTTCATAGTACACATTTTTTGCTGTTGAACTTAGACTATTGTATTCATACGTTGCTGCTGTTGTTGTTGTTGATTATTTGTAGTACCTATTTGTATCACATCTTGCTTTGATTTTTATTGTTATTTCTTGGTAATGTTTCAATGTAATGGGTTTCCCGTTGGAATAAATAAATAAAATAAGACTACTGGGACCAGTTGAGCTGAAATTTTGTCAGGAGCCATAAGTTATTTCCATTTTCTAAAGACAATTAACTTGTACCAAATAATTCTCTGGATTGTAGGTTTTATTTGTATAGTTGTTTTGTTTACCTAACTTTTTTATTTCTGATTTGTTCATACTTAAGTTTAATTGATTGCTGTTTTAGTTATTGTTTGTTTTGTTAAAGTTCATAAAATAACTTAGGCTACATTTTGTTTTTAGGGTAGGCCTAAGTTAAATATTGATAGTCTCATTTATTAAACACCAATAACAATGTAAACAGATCATAACTTAATTCATTTTTTTTTACATTTAAACATGAATAAAAATGAAAATGGATCATGGCTCAATTCCATGTTTTCATCTGAAATAAATTAAGTTAGGCCTAACTTAATATTTTAGAAGGAATACCGTAGCCTATAGACTATAAAACCGAATCAACATCGATACATACAATTAACTTATTCTTTAATCTCTGCTGGTCAATTGCTGAAAAAGACAAATACAGTAATACAAATTAAAGCAAGTTAAATAATTCCGCAGAGAAGCTGCAATATGTTACCGGATGTAAAATCAATAGAAATCAATTTTGTTTCGGATCAATATATAATTTATTATAACTTATATTGGAGATATTGGCAATGAATAGTGAAATGTATACCTAATTAATTTTAAAAGTTCAACAAGGCCAATATATAATAAATTATTTTAATCCACAAGCGCTTTCAGAAACTATGTTTCCATTGGTATGAAAAAAAAAAAAATAAATAAAAAAAAAATAAAATAATTTATTATATATTGGCCTTGTTGAACTTTTAAATTTAATTATACATTTAACTATATAATTTATTGCTTTTGTTTAGGCCTACGTTTTTATTCACGTTTAGTAGGATAAATGGAACCATCAATATTTAACCAAAAACAATAGTAGGACTACCGGTACCTATTTTATAACACAGTGGATACGCGTCCGGTAACCAGACGTGGATTAGGCGTCCGGTAGTGACATCACCGGGTTGTGGGGTCCCGGAACGCCATTACCACAACGATACGATGTTCGGCCAGCGTTGTTCGTGGTGTAGTGGATAGAGTGCCCGGCTGATATCCAAGAGGTCCCTGGTTCGAAACCCATCGGTTTCTTTAACTTTTTGTCACGGATTTTACTTTGAATGTAATTTCTTCTTAGCTGTAAGTTTACATCTTTTGTTAAAATTTTTGGCATTTATACCTAATTCTATGTTATGAAGAGAATTGAACCTTCATTTAATTTTTCTTATTATCAGCAAGTTTGGTTGGTTAGGTTAGGTTATGACAGTACCTAACTGCCGGACGCCTAATCCACGTCTGGTTACCGGACGCGTATCCTCTGCGATTTTGTAAACAAAACTAACTTAGGGAAACCAAGCAAAAACCATCAATTAGTTAATAAGGCTCGCACAAATTTAGGATAATGGGGTGTATCTGTTAGCACAAACAACCGAATGAAAATCAATCGATATATCGTTTGGTTAGTTAGGTAAGGCTAACCTAACCTAACTAAGAAAATCTTTTAATATAACTTCTTAGTAGGCTATTATAGGCTAACTTACCTACCACAAAAAATACTAACCTCAAAGATTCTGACCAGTACATTTACGTAGGCTCTTCGAATCCCAAATGATTTGGTAACTGATGCACACACTAGGATTGCACATAGAAATGCAAATACTGGAGTTAAAAACACAGAAAATAACACAGCACTTAGCGTCCCAACAGACGTCATAATATATGAAATGTCACCCCCAGGGGTACCTTACGACTATCTACCTAGTTGTGCAACTTGTGTTGTGTAACTTAAGTTTATCAGGAGAAAATCCAAGAGGGGCTGCAAATAAATTTTGATCAACCTGAGTAAACGTAGGTGACAAAATAATACACGAGCTTAAATAACATTATCGAATCACTGACACAGCCACTCAATAATCACTCACGTTACGAGTCACCAGTCACCACTGATCGTTTCATTTGTTTTATCGGTAAACACTAAACAGCATCTGCTGAACTGAACTGACAGACACGACACACTCCACTTACGGACTAACGGACTACGGACTGAGACACTGAACGAACTGCAACTGAACTGATATCACTACGTTGTTACTCGAACTGATATGATTTTGATTTTATTACGGCAATCAACAGTCCAACAGTAACTGTAACTGAAAACTGACACTGAACTGACAGACTGACTGTTGACAGTTAGTTCTTTCTGTTTCAGGGTAATTAGCTACTGTAGTCTCAGGGCATAGAATAAATATAGGGTAAGGATTGAGCACGGAGTTAGATATATATATATATATATATATATATATATAACTAGCTGTACCCGCGGGCTTTGCTCCAATATGTACAGAGAAGGAAATGTTAATGTTTTACTGCCTAAAGATTTCTCTACACGATTGTTTTTGAGAGAAAGAAGATTACTCTTAGGGTCTTTTTTTAGACGAAACAATGGCCAATTACTTTGAATTTCACTTCCCCAGACGATACAGCATATGATAGATATGGGAATACTATGCCATAGTATGCGGACAGAAGCACCTCATTGCCAGCCTTTTGTTTCAGAGTTCGTAGAACAAAAACCCCAGTGGGCAGTGGAAACTTTACATCGAAGTTAAACATTTGAGTATTCTACACGTTCAAAATCAGCTGGTTTTCATAGCACCATTGCAGAAGACTGTTCGATTCTAGAAATGCCATTAGCTCCAATGATTCCATAGGTGGGCTGGAAAGGGTAAGGGACGTATCAACGGCAAATAGGCAAGTCTTTGACGAGCTGACACACTGAGGAAGGCTGTTAATGAAAATGAGAAACAGCGTTGGCCCCAGGACGGACCCTCGGGACAAGGATTTTTTAGAAGCACTTTGTCCCATATAACCAGATCCATCAACATTAGGTATGGAAACCAACTGTTTTCTTTCTCCCAAATATGAATTAATATCAAAGTAATATGAAGTAGGTATATTTAAAATGTTATTTCCAATCTTGTAGCATAGATAAACCACGGTCACCTTTAACTCAGGCGGCCATGGATAAACCCATAGATAAAATGACTCTAATTAAATATAAAATAACTTAATTAATAAAATCACGCATGCTTTCATGCTCAACACAAAATCTGATTCATGAATGTTGTAATAACAATAATTATAAATGAAATATTGTAGTCCTACAGACTTACATCAATCCATGTTCATATTAATTGTAGAATAATTTTACACTGCATTGTTTGATCTCAATCATGCACTTCATTACTGTTTCATAACAAATATTTATATTGTTACTATTTATTTGTTACTGTTCACTATTTGTTACAACTATTTACTATTTAATTCTGTCATCTGTGAATGTTTTTTTTTTCATGTTAAAGTGGCTATGCCGTTGGGAAATAAAATAAAATAAAATAGAAAAAATTAAGGATTTCTTAGCTGCATGGTGTAATCCAGAGTCAGCTGTAAACAAGTTTCTGCTCTCATCTGTGTGTGAAAAGTGAACCAGAGGGCTTACTCTCTTTTTCTTTGCCCATGACTGCTCCCAGAAGTCTGTCGTAACCTTTCTCGTTTATATTCGTCCTTCAAATCAAATCAATATTATTAATTTTTCTCATTATAACTATTTAATAAATCATGCCTACTGTGTTTAAACCTGCAGTTGACGTTTCTCCGCTCATTAGGGTAAGTGAATAATTAAATTCCATTAAAAGAAATTGGGATTAACATAGACCCTTGCAGACATCATTTTAACAGCTTAGACCTAAGTTAGGGCCTACTACTTTTACGAACATGAACATGAACATTTCCTTTTTTAACATTCCACATTTTTAATTAAAACCCATTTTAAAACCAATCGAAAAAGCTGTATTGATTGAGGGTATCCTTGGCTGCACTTTACTTTAGGTCCTACACTCATTGGAATGAAAATATCGTTTATTCGATTGTTTCATTGCATTCGAATGAGTGTAGGACCTAAAGTAAAGTGCAGCCAAGGAAAACCATAAATAAAAGATTATAGAAGCCTAACCTATCCGTGTAATCCTCAGGGCTACCAGGAGGCTTACAGTTAGGCTACTTAAGATGATATCAAGCCCGTTTTTGACCCTGTCAGTGCCCTAGGCAAAACTAATAGCAGCGCCCCTTTAATTCAGGGTGTCCAACGGTCGGGAAAACCGGGACTTATGCTGGAGTTTTTTTTTTACTGGGAAATATGCGTGAATTTTGTATTTCTCCCTGGAATTTTCAATTTACCACGATCGCGCATAACAGTGACGTATCTGTGATAACCATTCTGCCGCGATCCCGGGACTCGATAATTATGTCTACACGACCGCGGGAGAGGATATAGATACAGCATAATGATGTCTTCAGTGCCATGAGGGATGATCAGAATTTTACCGTGATCACGTCAAAATGATGATAATGTTGAAAATGATGATAATGTCCACACGACCGACCGTGAGAGACGATATAATGATGTCTTCATGGCCGCGAGGGATGATCAGAATTTTGCCTCATTCACTGAAGACGATAATGATCCCCACACGACCTTGGGAGATGATTACCATTTTGACGTAATCGAGGGAGACGATTATTATGTCTACATGGCTGCAGGAGATGTTGTAATAATGATCAGAATTTTGCCCCGATCGCAGAAGACGATGATAATGTATACTTTACTGCGGGAAATAGTCAGAAATCAGCCGCGATCGCGGAAGACGATGATGATCTTCACACGACGTAGGGATATGATTAACTTCTTTCCACAATCGCGGGAGACGACTAAGATGTCCACACGGCCGTGAGGGATTACCAGAAGTTTACCGCCATTGCATGCAAACAACCACCATTTTATTTATTTTCCAATTTTCTTGCGCCCCCCAAAAAGCCAATTTCATCGCGCCCTAGGCACGTGCCTATTCGGTACATCGGCCCCGTAGCTCAGGAAATAAACTTAAAACTCGTGTTTCCAACCCAAATAAAATCCTGGAAAGGTGACTTCACCAAGTTTTCCTCCAGGCGCTTGCAAATTTAAAAATAAATAGATGTGTTTTCGCTGATAGTCAGTTGGAGGATTCATAGTAGGCTACCTCACTCTCGTGTTTCTAGGAACCTACCTAATTTTAACTTTTAAAATTCTTACACATAACATCACACCTTTTCACATTGAATAAAAAATATTTAAGTTAAACAGTCAAAGGCCTACTTAAAATCGCCTTGTTAGCATTTCCAAAATATTTTGACTTCAACTTTGTAGCCAAATGTAGTTCTGTGAGTTTACACACTGCATCTTTCACGTTGTGCATACCCCATCATACTACAACATATGAGTTACAACACATGAGTACAAGTGTAACCTTTGTTGTAACTGTCTGCCGTCTTCGGAACAATCTACTTTTATCCATTAAAATGCTTGATAGTCGTCCCCAGTTTGTGGCGGCACTCAAAAAATCGTACTTTGAGCATATGGCCTTGGCTGTTGTGTCTCAGGACTGTTTTGGCACTTGCATATTTGCTGACTGAGTGTGTGAGTGATTTTTTAAACATTTTTGTTAGGTATTTTTAAAAAACTATTGTTTTTTTAAAATCATGTTTTCTATGGTACCTATGTATATGTATACCGGTTGTGCAATGCTAAAATTCAATAGGATGTGCAATACAAATTTATTTTCACTATAAATTATTTATTTTAGATCAATTTTACAATAATGATTGGAAGTAACTGGTGAACTCTTTTTTTATGTTCATTGTGTTTAATTCTTATTCCAATGTAAATCTAAATTTATGTACCTATTTCTAGTTCGGACGATGGAGTTTCCTGTTAGCCGGCATAGCTTATGGTGCATTTTGGCAAAGCAGATATGAAAAGTATGAACTGAGCGTTAAGGACGTTAAGCTGAGGGAGAAGGCTGAGAGAGATGCCAGGATCGCCCACGAAAAGCAAATGGCCGCAGCTCGTAAGTAGCCTCAGTTTTATTCTAGATTGAAATGAGTTTAATAGTCTATAGTGGGACAGTGGCGTTGTCCTGTAATCCAGCTACTAGGAGGTCACGAATTGTGGATATTTATAGGCATGCACTTTGGATGCGATACTCTCTGGTGTGGATTAGTGTCACTAGTGAGTACTACGACTATCCACAGTACGGTACTATCCTGATAATTAGAACAATTCATTAATACCAAGGAAAAATGTGGTTAGGATTCCACTATAAACTGTAGGTCCCTTAGTTGACATTAGCTGTATGGGCTATTGATTAACAGCTGTGTCTAAGGAATATGTCGGCCTTAGTCACTAACAAGACTACAAGATCGCGACTCATCCTACACTCATGTACATTCATACTTTGCTTAAAATATCTACTTTGTATGGTTGCCATTTCAATGATAAGTATTGAAGTATTAATTTATCTTGTTGGGCTAAGCCGTTATTAAAACTGCTCGTAAACACAAGTTCTATCAACCTTCTAACCGCAACACAACCCATTAAAAAATCTCTTTATTCTTAAATTCCTTTAAATAACTTCATAAAATTCATTCAAATATTTACTCAATTTTGTAAAAATTGATTCAAATAGACTTTTCAAAGTAAGCCATGATGACGCTACAAAAGACCATTGACTATTGGATACTGAAGTAGACATCCCATCTATCAGCACTATCTGTCGGTTGCTCATATCATCTACGACGACCTTTACTAAAAAGCTGTCGGCAACTTAATTGGTGGTGGAATTTCTGGTTGTATCAATAGTCAATGAAAAGACAGTGCATTAACATGTGGTTAATATCTGAAACTATACTACATTCAGCGAGTGTTTTGAAGCGCAGCCCCCGCTGGGGTGTGACTTTAGTTCCAGACGGGTTCACAGTGAGCCCACTGCAATGCTGCCTTGGAATTGATATCAACAATATTGAGTCCATTCAAACTCTTGTTACTAATTTGACGGTGGAATGTAAGTAAAAAGCCCCCGAAAACCCCTTCAACCTCTTCCACCAGCGTCGTGATCAAAACTCTAACTCAGGAACTGTCTATGTTTAGACTGCTGGCAAGCGACTGAGGGCATGTGAACCAGCCTTCTACGAAGACACAACCCGTCACATTTTCTATTTTCCTATTGGCTACATTTTCCTATTGGTCTTGTTTACTTTCATCTAGAAAAATCAAACTATCTAACTTTTTTTACTATCCAAATGGAGTCTGGTCCCAATCTATCCTGGTAATTGGACTGTACATAGCCTACATTTACCCAATGTACATTGTGTTCTGTGATTAGATATTTGTGGGAAGTCAACTAACCTTTTTTTAATCTGTTTCCTATTGACAGTGATGTCTGTGTGAAGGTGTTTAACCCTTTAGATACTAAAATATTTTTTTCTAATTCGCTCCGGTACGATATATTGTCGCTTAGCGCTTGGATGAAATGCAGACAACGATATATTGTTACATTGCACTAATCAGGTATCCACATTTAAATACAAAATATACAGTAATTTACTACTCTACTATAGATGATTTGTTTTAGGCATGTGTTACAAAATAATTCATTTATTTACATTTTCGTACAACTTTTTTTACTGCTTGGCTATCTGTAAGACAAATGTTAAAAAATTAAAATTTCATGTAAAGCTTAACGAAAAACACATTTTTCCAGAACAGAGGCTACATTTATCTATGACCATATAAACCTTTGTGAGTATTGAATGTGGTGTTAATGTTGTGTTTCAGGTGAAATACAAGAGTTGGAGAAGATGGGTAGAGGCGGCAACTAAACTTTTACATTCATCTCATCCCATATTGTAGCAATTATAAAATGTGTTGTTAATAAAGTCATTCTGTGTTTATAATTTATTTGTTAGTGTGAACCTTTTAATGACAATATTTTTAGTCAATATCGAGTATAAAAATGTATGTAGTAACAATCCTGAACACACGTTCAATGTATAATATTTATTTTATATGTTTATTTATTTATATGTTGTAATATTTACACTACAACCTTCTCAAGTCGGATTAAGTGGGACTTCAGGTGATCCGACATGACGTAAATCTATTAAGCCGAAAAATTAGCAGAAAACAGCAACAAATTAAAACATTCCTACAGTTTATAATCATAGCCTACTAATATTATAAATGTGAAAGTTTGTGTGTTTGATTGTGATTGAGCTGAAATTTGGCATGATGATAGCTGACATTCCCAATTAACATATGGGCATATTCTTATCTCAAAGATCCTTTCAGGCTCCGCCAAGTGGCTCTGTAGTTCCCCATGTTAACCTTATGAGTATTCATATTTAAAGGGAATTGAAGAAGTCAGTCAGCTGTTTCAAATAAAAAAGTTGGTTCTATGATGTGCAAAAGCATTAAAAAGTTGTAAGATTTACCAACAGGGTGCAGCACTATATTTTTTGCATGTATAAAAACGGCTAATTTGAACTAAGCAGAAACAAAAAACTGAGATAAGCAATGTGAACTGTCAAAGTAGGATTGTTTACAGTTATAATTATGTTTTTAATTTGTGATATTCTACAAATTTTTCATAATTTATTTTTCTCTATTGTTTAGGTGAAGTGGTAGATCATGGCTATGGTAGATGTGTAATACTATAGCATACTGTAAATTTAAAGAAGCAAATTTTATCAAACTGTGTCCTCCCTCATTGTAATTGCAAAGCTTGAGTATAACTGTACTAAGCATTTTATACTTATATGTCAACCCCGTACGAAGTACGGGTACTCTGCTAGTTTTTTATAATTGAGAAAAGAAAACCCATTTTTACTCAAATGAAAAATATTTACACATGACGATAAACGAACACAATGTTTCACCGTGAAGACATTTAGCGTTTCAGTGATGGCAACTGTCAGTATTTGGAGCTGCAAACATGATCACTGATCCTGACTAAACAAGGTTTCTGTTGATAAAATACAGGGTTGATGAAAGGTCCCTAAAAGGCTGAACATTTAAAAGATAAGAGCTACAAAACTCGGTACAACCACTGGACATGAGAATCATTTTAACCCTTCCAGGACTATATGTGGCTATATCCGCTAGCATTTGTACATAGCCGACGGTAGGCGGATATATCCCCCCGATTATAAGACAGTTATTTTTATAGCTGGCTGTCTAAAACATCATTAATCATTCGTATAAATGTTATTTTATTCAATTATATCTTTAACCAATGTACTAAGAATATTTTAATAGAAAAAGAAGAAAAAAGATTTTAATGAAAAAATATATATTTTGGACAAAAGTATTTCATTATGCACTTAATGGGGGTCTAGTTTGATCTGTAACTTTATAACTAGTGGCATGACAGGAGAATTATTATCATTGACATTGGGATATTCAGTGGTGGTCCCAGGGGGGGGAGGGATATAATCCCCCGAAATATTTTTTATTTTATTAGCTAACATAAATACTATTAGCTTGAGCATATTTTAGAGCTCATATAAGTGTTTTTAGGCTTTTAAATTACACTTTTTTTCCTGGTGGACCCCTGTAGCCCCTTTCTTGTGAAATCTTTGGACCATGGTGGATATTTAAGTATTCCATTTTTATTGAAATTCATGCCAATAGCTCTGGACCTGCAATATTGTTTACGGTATTGACTAATATGGGTTTTACAGTGTCTGTCATTAGTTACAATGGTTACAATTGGTAAAAGAGAAGGTGTTGCATGTTTCAGTGGAATGCTGTCATTCTAGACTGGTATTAGTGGTTCCTTCCAAATGTTTAAAACTTGAACGCTTACACTACTGTGTTGCGGTTGGCGGTACGTTTAGTGAAGGCGTTGGCAAATCTTAAACACTACAATTTAACTCATCTTTAACATGAATGCCGTTCACTGTAGGTACAAATCGAGAATTCCGTGATTTATTTTCGTTTAATTAGAAAGAGTCTCATGACGATCGTATTTAAGCCTCATTTTGTTACGAGTAAATTATCTTTTATTGTTTAATGTTTGTGTATAATTTATTTCAGGGGTGCCCTCAAGGGGGGGCCGTGACGCAGACTGCGTCATTGAAATTCTTGGGGGGGGGGCTCAAAAAATTCAAATGGGGGGGGGGGCTAAAGTTAATTGCAACAGTGTTCAACGTGACAACAATCCAAAATACATTACGAAGTCGCCAGATAGAAAGTGGATTAATTAATGACAATAGTTATATTATTGTATTAAATTAGTTAAAATAGGATTTTAGGATCGTTTAGGATTCGTGTAGAAAGTTATTGTTTAAGATTAGCAAGACGTGATATCTAAGAGGGAGCGCACGGGATGGCTCAACTGCTGTGATAGATAAAAGATAACGCGTGGTACAGACACGTCCAGCTACACCGCGACTTAAGCAGAACGCTTTGTTGACATAAAGCTCGTTAAAATACAATCAAGTAGCAAGTAGCATAGGCTACAATACTTTACACTATTGTGTAGATACTCGATTACCTGAGTTAATAGGGAGAGGGAGGGGGGAATGAAAAATATGGTTAATCCAATATAATATAAAAACAGATGACAAACTCATTAAAACGCTGTAAACAGCCATAACCGTCACGATTTACATTTTTATAAACGAAATTCAATATTGCACAATCATTATTATTGTAAATTTCAAATCATTTATCTTGGTTCAGTTGTACAAACGGCAACGTTTAAAATTGTAGCTAACTCAAACTCAACTAATCACTAGCCAAACATTGCATTGCTATAAATAACGTAAATATTAAAGGAACCTTTAGAAATTGTTATCAGGTACTGCTCATGATAGAAAGATAGACTACCGATAGGTGCTGTATCACAGCATAGGAATTGATAGGTAAGTAATAAAAAAGTGTAAAATTATATTTAGAGATAATTAAAACACTCTTAAAAAAGAATGTAGGTAACGAGAACAATCTTGTTATTCTATTTCTTTGTTCTTCTGTTCTTTAATAGGGTTCTCTTCAATTCATACAAGAATTCAACAAGTCGCCATATTTAGGCCCACTCATTGGCCAATCCACCAATCACAGCCTTACTAAAGTTACCATGGTTATCACTCAATCACAGTGTACTAAGCATTATATCGTCATCATTCCCCAGCTGTTGTATCTTAAATCTGTTGTAACATAGCGCACAGCAGACAGAAGTGTACGGAGCAGACGATTGTTGGCGCAAGCGTTGTTTTTGTTTCCATTTCATTTTCATCAAAGGAGCTGTGATGTTTCTAAAGGGAGGGAGAGGGGATCCGTTTTATCGAGAAAGACGCTGACAATTCGTTAAGCAGGTTACGAACGCTATATGGATATTCTGGCAATAAAATATTCCTAAAATTGAGGTGATTTATAAAACTCTAATTTTATTTATATAGAAAGATAAGTTTTCCAGTCCTGTACAACACTCTGATTCACGGTCTTTTCCCTGTAATCAAAATTCAAGTACAACTTGATACAACCAGAATCTCCGGTTCCCGACCTGGATGATGGCTAAATATTTAATTTAATTTACAGTTACATATTAGTACTCGTGATAAATCAAACCCGATGTGTAAGCCAAAGCCACACGGTTATTAATCTCACTTGGTTTTGGATTTGCTGGGAACCGGAGTTTTGCCAACGGGTGTCAGGTAGATGGGGGGGATGCCGTCGGCCACCTCTTGGTGCGGAGATTTGCCAACGGTGGGGGCGGGAGAAAGAGAGTGTGAGGGAGGGAGAGAGAGCGATTGTCAGGGTTGTCTACGCTTGGGGTTGACGACCAGGGTGATCACTGCGTTCATAGGAATGCAGTCGCATTGGGAGGAAATGTATAAGATTTTTGAGCCAGGAGCACTCATGACACATCGATTCTTCGAGTGATTATTAAAGAGCATCCATCTTTCTCATAACAGGAAAACGTACATATGTCCCCTAATGAGTTGAGTATTTATCCTTGTAAATTAATGTTTTCTTTTACAGTAATTTTCAACTTTATAGTAGCATACTCAAGCATAGTAGTATACACGTGTCTTTACGCGTCTTATTTATTAGATGCACCAAAAATGTTCTTCGCCTTAAATAATAAAAATAATTCAATTTATATTTGCACCATTAAGTTCACCTAAACAAATAAATTAGCTCTAAGACGTTGCTATATTTGACAAGAGCTGTGTCTAAAATCCTGTTTTCATGCTGAGATAACGCTTTTATTATTTATATAATTATTTAAGGCTTGCAGTTATGTCTCGCGTTTTCCCATATATTGATAACATTTTGTGTATCAAATCAAATTAAATAAAAATATATATATGGCTTCGTTTAGTTGAGATTTATCCAATATTCGCTTACAAATCCCACTTAGAAGGTCCTCGTAGCAGAAATCCTATCCTACTAGCGAAAACTTAGAGAATTAGGCCTAAAAGAAATCATATTTAATAAGTTTGTACTGCTGAATTATTTTTATTGATAAAATAATTATCTGTTAGTAATTAAGAATTAAATATTACTTAAAAATATGTTTGCAAATAAATATTACCGCCGTTGCGTCACAAAAACCTTCGTACTCAGCGAATTGCAAAGTTTATAATACAACTTATGTGTTATAACTTGTACTGTACCAAAATTTATTGAGATATTTTCACTATATTATTATTTGAGAAAGGGACTTCTAATTGTTGGTATTTAAACCAGAATAAGAATGGCGGATGAGTGTAGGAGGATTGTAGTGCGATCTGGAGGACAGTGGCGTAACTACGGGGGGGGATGAGGGGGATAGAACCCCCCCCAAAGGCAAAAAAAAAAAAAAAAAAAAAAAAAAAAAACTTAATAACCTACTCCATAATGAACATTGTTCTCAGAGGGTGGATCAGGAATTGTTGAGGGTAGTTTCATA